AATATCTCTTTGTAGGCATGAGTCTCGAAGAGATAAGGCAACACATACGAGTGGGATGGATCTACAACACAATCGCTGCCATGAATTGATGTGAAAGCGTTTTATACTTCATGACCTCCGTCGCCCGAGTGGGAAGAGACCTATTAACCGCCATTGTATCTCATCCGATTAACTTCTACTAAACATGCCCATCAGAGCTGATTTTGTTTATTTCCCGAAGTTCAATATGTTTGCAATATGCTGCTATACTCGTTTTTACTTTCCATACATCGCTACGGTGCCGCACATCGCTTAAGCCTTGTCTGCCTGATGTTTTTAAGAATATATCATTGAAGAAGGGTCTTATTTAAGATAATGTCACGACGTCAATGGTGCAATGAATAACTTCTGCTATAAACATGAATTGGCTACTGGTTGTTTTGTACTTGTTGTGTTGCTCACGTAGAAGTTGAAATGTACGATCTCCGCTCCAGTGGGGGTCACGGAGTGTGCCATAAAGCGGACCACACAACCAAATTGAAGTTGTCACAAGAATGTCTGGACGCACCTAACAAAATCAGGTTGCGAACTGAGGTAAATAGAAGGAACCTGAAGACGCATTACACCATTACCTGCAGTATGAATATGAATGATAGGTCCTGCTATTCAGAATATTGCTGTAGAATTGTACAACAAAAGCGCGCGGAAATGAAGCAGGAGTATTGCGAGAGGCAAATCTTTTCTATGTCTGCGTCCGTTGTTAACCACATCCCGGACCACCGTTGTGCGAGAGCTTCCTCATCATTTCTCTTTAATTTTCAAATCGACAATCCATTATTTTATCTGTTTCTTTCACATTCCATTCCTTAGCAATGCGCAAACTAGACCATAGAAAACGGGAAGAGAGGAAAATGCACGACAAACCATGTGTGTCACGCAGTTCGGAACGTGTTGTTAACCTCTCTGGAACGGAAGAAGTCCGTTTCGCTGTTTCACGAGTTCGCTGTGCTTTATACCCCCTGACGCTCGATAGCAAAAACGCGTTGCGGCCATGTTGCCATCACGTTGGCTACACATCTCACTCTAATGAGATGGCACCACGCTTTCAAAGGAGACTTCATGATGAGCCAGCGAAAAATAGGTAGCGGGAGTAGGAACAAAAGTGGATGTGCTAGTAGACTTGCTCGTGAAGAAAAAAAGGGGAAAATTTTAAAATCGCTCCAGTTAGGACCCTACTTCTGTCAAGCGAGAGAGCATGCAAGATGCAGATAAGGCATCTATTAACGTGGGCGGGGTCGCTTGAGCAACGTTGTGCCTTGCCGCTACCTTATCGCTTCCTGTGAAACTTACACAGAGTTGTTCGTTCCAGTCCAGACTACTTCTCCTTGCAACGAGCGTAGGTAATTATAAGTGATCGTGGGCTCTGCTTTCAAAATCGAACTGTAGATACAGTCCTCATCATTACGGACTGTCGGGGCGGCACAGCCGCGCTGCACTGTGACGCGACAGCGGCTGCGGCTCGGTGACGGCGAATCAGCTGATTTCGATGGAATTCGACTGCGATTTCCCACTTTTTTAAGCTCTTCCAGCTTCTAAAGTGGAAGGTGAGGTATTCTGACCAACTCTGAATTGTACTGGCTCTGATTTCCTTTATTTTTATGTCGATTATTATGCTCTTTTCCTTGTATTTTGCCTTATTTCAGGCATTTATTCAAATGGCTTACATTCTTTCAGATTCATTCAGAGTCAGTACAATTCTAAATTGGTCAGAATAACTCACCTTCCACTTTAGAAGCTTGAAGAGCTGAAAAAGTGGGAATTTTGCAGCCGAATTCTATGGAAATCAGCTGATTCGCCGTCACCGAGCCGCAGCCGCTGTCGCGTCACATTGCAGCGCGGCTGTGCCGCCCTGACAGTCCGTAATGATGAGGACTGTAATAGCGGCACCCAACCAAACGTGAGAGCGTGCAGACGGATTGTTGCTATGGTTAAGCGTACGATTGACCGTGTGGCGCACTGCGTATATGTGGCCTGGCCGTACTACTCCGAATCGGGGGAGGGATATGTAGAGAACATTCAGCTATTTACATCCTTCCGCTTCACTTCCTTCATTTCAGTGGTTAAGCATTACAAAAAACTCGACAGCTACGGGAACATGCCACCTCGCAGCATGAAAAGCCGTCAATCTTGCAGTATCGTAGTGTGATTTCCAGCTGCGACCTGTCTTTTCTTTCACATCATTCGAGTTTGCATGAATGGTTTTTCCAGTGGTCAGCGGAACAGCCTTTTCAACATTCGTGTTTGCAGAAAGGTTTTTCTAGTGGTCAACGGAACGACAATTTCTGCTGGCTCGATACGCTGCACACAGCATTGAAAATAGTTGGAATTCACCCCGAATTAGGCATTCAATCGGGAGAGGTGGCGTCATCGTATCAGAGAGCGGACTCTCCCACCGAGTGGGAGAATGCCAGGGAATGAGAATTCTCCTCAAAAATGGCAGTTTTGAGAGTATTAATACTAGTTCGCTGCGGTTGAACAGGTGTGTCAGACAGTATATGTCATGGCTCCTTCTCTACCAGTTATTGAAGCGGGTATGCAACAACAATGTAGGAAGGTTGACAGAAAGCGAGTAATTCGAACGATGTTATACAGTCTTGTCACTTGCTCGCCTCAGCAGCTGGTGGAGGCTGGACGGGTTTGGCACCGCGCCAGACTTATCCCGCCCCTTCGCCCGTAGCGATATCACTCGAACAGCGTCAGATTTTTGAAAATTAGCGAATTTGCAGGGAAATCGCGCAGTGTGATAGAATTTTTATACTACATGAGTTATGAAGACGTGAACACGTTGATGGTCGCTGCCATGCCACGAGTGGATCATACGGCAGCACTCTTCCTACATGCAGAACGATCTACAAATGCAATCATTCAAGAAACTCCACAAGAATCTTGGTGCAATATAGGGAATCAACACTCACTTGCACAATTTCGTCTGGAGCCAAGTGGCCGCAGTGGCACGATTTGAGAAGGTGTTAACACAAGCGGAACCACCGGTGAGTGACGTCAGTGAGCTTTGACTCGCTCCAGACGTCCACTGGACGGCCACGGGCTTGGCACCATACTGCTGTGCCACTTGCTTCATGAACTGGATTGGATCGGTATCCCAGCTAAGAAGGTTTGAAAACTCATTGTGGAAAGCTGATTTTAGAAAAGAGATGTAACTGAGAACAGACTACTACTTCAAAGCGAATAGTCAGATCTCGTAATCCACGAATGTAAAAAAATAAAGACGCACCTGGTTGTTCCGGTCACGTAGACAATTGCTTTCTTGGATGTTGAATAGTTCTTCGAAAGGAAATTGTTGGTTATTGCTTGGAGGGATCTAAACAGGAGGGAATGGTAAGCCAGTGAAAACCGTATCTGGAAAGAACAAGATGAACGAACAGCTTGAGCGTTTGTCCAGTTGATCCGTCTTGGGAGAGGGTCTTGATTGTGTTGAGGAGCGTTTGCCTGTAAAACCGTTCCGTGGGTTAAAGACAGATTTTGCGATTGCAATCTATGAGCAGAGGGATCCAGACATGGCTTTATAGGTGTTAATTGGATGACAAGAGATAATTGACAAGTAAATGGGAGAAACTATCGAAAACGCCCCACATAGGAATTGATTCTCGGCGCTGGACGAGTATATGGGGAAATAGCGGCATTGTACGAGAGACCAGAATAAGGGCTGTACGGCCTCACAGTGAAGGGTGAGAAAACTTTTGGCAATGCTAGGCAGCAGTCGTACGTACACGAGCGTCTATACTTGGGATAGGCAGGTTTCCTGGTTATGATGAGTCTCGTTCGGGTAGCGGAAGTGGTTACAC